CCAAGACAAACTTTCCTTCAAGGATTTCAGTATGATGTATGAGGAGTTTGTGACTTTGTTCATTGATGACATTGAGTCTTCTGGAGGCCTGCGACCCCACTTTGCTATGTTCATTGATGGAATTGAAATGTAAGTTAATACCTAGATTACAATGATGCAACAATTCTACCCATTCTGCTGACCATATATACTGTATTGAGACCGGCAATAGGCGTCCTGTGGTGGTCTTCCTCTCCTGTGTGTCAACCACTGGCAGTATATTTGACAGCAGCCATTCGGTGGAGGACGTGGCTGGAAAGTAGCTGGCAGTATTGGGATTTGGCAATTGCTGCTGCATTAAGACAAGTTGCATCATTTGAATCTGGTGTTGTTGCTGACAGAGAATCAGGTTACCAATGTAAGAATTTCTTTTTTGTGCTACAGGAGGAGCTGATTGTGGAGGTGGATTGGGTTGTGGAGGTTGGAGCTGTGTAACCGGTTGTGGTTGTGGAACCGGTTGTGGTTGTTGGTTGTTGGTTGTGGAACCGGTTTGTGTGTTGTGGAACAGTTGTGGTTGTTGAAGCCTTCACTGGACTGGTGCCACAATCTACACAAGGCAACATCATTTGGTGAGTACTTCTGCCTGTGAGGTTTGAATCCAACAATGCAGTCTGAAAAGAATCGCTCTCCATTGTCCTTTGGCAATGGCTCTGCATTTGGAAATGGTGCATCCAGACAAACAGCCTCTGCCATGTCATTGATGTAAGCCAACTCTGAATGGTTACAGTAAGGAACAACCTTCTCCCATCAAGCTGGAATTGACTTCCTTTCTGCCTCGCTGATTCTTGACAGGGAGGCTCTCTCTTGTGCCGAATCTTGAGGTTGTATCTAGCAGTGCCAGCAAGGTTGAGTGCATCAGCAAGGCTTCTTCTCATTCCACCATTGCCAAAGTGGGCAAACTTGTCATGGAAAGCCTCTAACTTTGACTCTCCTCTCCTTGATAGGTACTCTGGAAGATTGTGCTTGGAGTTTGGAGAAGGTTGGATTGTGTCATACATGTCTTCCAGTGCCAGGGGATCAGCCAAGTGAATGGCTTTGTCAACACAGTTCTCTACTGCTGGTTTGGTATCAGAAGTAAACAAGGTAAAGTTCTTGACTGGATCGAGTCGGCCCTTGTCCTGGCTGGCTACCATCACTGGCTGTCACCTTGTACCTGCAGAACCACTGCTGCAACCTCTGTCTCATGGTCTCTGGTTCTCTCATCTTCTTCCTAAGATACTTGGAGTACCTAGCTCTGAAGACCTTGGAGGCTTGCATATCGGAGATCTCTGCCATGGAGTAGTGCTTGCCATTGGAGGACAAGAGGCCAGATGTTTCAAAGCATAGAGAACCTTCTCAAAGTCTTCTGGTAAGTACTCATAGAGGCAATACAAGAGAGCATTCAAAGCTTGATAGTGGTCAATGTGTCCCTTTCTCAAAGTTGATAGTATTCTCTTCTCATAATGGAAACAGCACAAGTCTTCCCTCAATACTGGAAAGAGTGTGCTCTCCAATAGTCATCCTTGTTGGGCCAGTGTCACTGTACATGGCAAAACTGGATTGAATGGCTTTCTCCTTGCTAGCTGCATGGCGTGCATGGGAGAAGTGGATTGTCTTGGTTGTGTGGAACCAGCACTGCCAGAAGCTATCTCTCCATTTTCAGTGGCAGAATCCCAAACAGCAACTGCTCCACCTCTCTCTTCATGTAGTTCTTGACTGGTTGGAAAGTGTGGTCCTGACAGAAGATCCCTTGTTGCAGCTGACACTTGTGGATCTCCTTGGTGTGCTTGTTGTCACTGATCCTCCATGGATTTCTTTTTGGAGCACAAGCCTCTATCATAAGAAGTCACGGATTGTTCACCCAAGAGGAGGGTACTCGTTGATGTAAGTTCCATCCTTTGGAAGGAAGGGAGGAGGTTCCCTCTCATTACCTTGCCAGTAAGAATAGTAGGACATCATTGCCCTGATATACTCTCTGTTGATTGCATTGTAGATTAGGCGACTGCATAGGTCCCCATTTCCATAGGTAACCATGATAGAATCAAAAGTTTCTGTTGCAGTTCTTCCCAAGTGATAGTCACTCTTGGCAAAAGCATACTTGGACTCAACTGGATACAGCAAGGAAACATGCTCTGGGACCGACACTAGTACCTCTGCCTGGTTGGCATCAAACCTCTTTTTGCAGCAGTCACAGACCATTTTCTGAACCATACACCAAGATGGAGCTCCAGCAATGCCAAAGATTGGAAACAGAGTCTTTCCGACCATTGCTTCTATATTCTTGAGTTTGCCAGACATCTTCCATCCGGACAAGCTACAGTAATGCACATCGATTCCAATCCACCAGAAGCAGTTTCTGCCCAACAATAGAGTGGTAGTGAGGAGACTCGAATTGCTTCCTTTGTGGATGGGACTGTCATGGTGGAGTCCTCGAAGAGTTGCTGTGAATGTCCTGGTTCTTGATGTTGCTTGTAATGATTCTGGCACTGCTTCTGCATTGCTATCATTGCCATGGTGCATTTTTTCTTGTGCTTTTCCACAAAGGTGGAATCCTCAACCAGAGCTGTGACTTTCTCGCAGAACACAGCTGGGGTGGCCATTACCTTGTTCTTGCTTTGAGTTGCTGTGGCTGTGGCTTTGGCTGTGTTGGTTCTAGGAGCAAAGAATGCTTCTCCATTTTCTCTTGTGGAGTGCCTCCAGCTTCCTCTCTCATTCAGTGGAAGAGGAGCGCTGAATTGCCTGGTGAGTCTCCTGCTTTCCTTGATTGTCTCCATTGTCAGCGCATTCAAAGGTCCTTGTCCTTTGTTATTGTATTCTTAATACAGAAGACAGAGTGAGATCTCTTGGGGACTCTGAGACCGTAATGTCTGCCTTACAGATGACACTTCTTGAGTGGATAAAGACTTCTGCTACACTCCTCCAGTGTTGTTTGCGGTCTTCTTCTCTCGCTCTCTTTGATGATCTTTGGGTTGTTGTTGTTTGCGAGTTGGAATGCTCTCTTCTGCTGGGGGTTTCTCTGTTGACTTTGGCAGCCCATCTCTTCTCCATTGTGAGTGGTAGCTGCTGTTGTTGTTGTGTGTGGATTCATTGCTGCTGCTGCTACTGGCTTTTTGGCCGAGATAATGACTGTCGAGTTGAAGCGAACGGCAGCATGTCATTTTCGAACGGAGGAATCCTCTGTTTCAGTTTCGCGAAAACAGAAACGGCCGCTAGGTAGCACATTTGCTCTGTAATAACTATAAATGGTACGTTAAGTATATTTGAATACTTCCTGACGTATTCGTTGTTCTTCCGAACTCATCGACCAATCAGATTTCTGCCTTTCACCCCTTTTCCGCCACATTTGCCCCGAAATCAATTGAAGGGATAAGGATACGGGAGAGGTAAATCCCATCTTCGCCTTGGATCTATCTATCTGTTACGATTGCTTCCTTGACTCCCACCACCGCATCAAAGACATCTACTACCGCTACTATTAATAGTACTCAGTACCGAGCGCAGTACATGTAATTTTCGTTAGAGTCGAGTGGAGTCAGGGCAATCTAAACTGGTAGCATCAGCTGTGGGCCAATCAGCCCTCAATCAGGGCTCCAGAGAAAGTATCATTGACCAACAGTTTTTATAGAGGATGGCTAGATGGGATCAAAATCATTGGACTGTCACTCGGCTCGGATGCAGCTGGGCTGCCTGAAGCAATACCGTCTGTACAACCGGTCCATTTGGGTACAAGATTGACCGGAACGTTAGGAGCTGCCGCCCAGCACACAAAACGGCAACAGGCGACAAAAAAGGTGCCGGATCTAATGATGCCCACTGGATCTAAGCAGCTATCATAGCATAGCTAGAGGTACGGCGCCTAGTACGATAGGCTCTACCGTACCACTATTAATAGCAAGCGGTACCGGTACCGGTACCGGTACCACCGAACTGGCTAGCTACATGTACATGTAGACATCAAGACGACCTTCAAGCGACGTCCGAGTCGAGGACAACAGCCGAGCAACCGAGGCAAAAAGACGATGTCAATGACCACAGCACTTCCGGACAACCGGCAGATTTAGTTATTGGAGTATGCACAGTCCGGGCCCGTTGGAGTGTCACCAGAGGCGTGAAACGTTTAAGTACGTCCCAGCATCTCAAAAATATGTCTAAATACAATCAGGTGACCGTTTGATAATCATAACGGTACATCCGACGAATTCGTTACACGCGGCTTCGACTCCGCAAGAGCAAACCTCCACGAAATTTTGCACGGGGTTCTTGTCACATTTCTTTGCCTCTTTCATCCAGAAAAAGGGTCTGTTGCGAACTACCTTCGACCAAGTCTATTCAAGAATAATTTTATCAAATCATGGCAGTGGAACCCGCCAAAGCAGAGAGCTACGAAGCTCGCTGGAACCAAGCCAATGTGATTGAAGCGGTGCAATTGTGGAAATTGAATCCGTCGGATCAACAAAAGTTTTTCGTGTTGCAAAAGAAACTCCAAGATGTCCAGCATCCCTGGAACGATCCTCACGTGGTCTTGGGGTTTGTGGAAGCATTTGGGTTTCCGGCAGCCGAACAAAAGTTTCGGAAAATGATCGAATGGCGTCTGCGCAACAAGGTGGATTCCCTATTGAAGGAATATCATCCAAATCCTCTCTTGATGGATCATTCGCCCGTGGCCTTTCTGGCCGATTATGATCACGAGGGAGATCCGATTTACTGTGAACGTGGTGGAGCTTGTGACGCCAAGGGCTTGCTCAAGCGCTTCTCGAAAGAACAGCTGATGAGGCATTCCATTTGGTTGCGAGAAGTACAGAGCGATGGAGCGTGGTTGGATGATTACAAAGAGCAAATGGGAAGACCTGTCGTTTCCATTACCGTGGTGTACGATCTCCAGGGACTCTGTGGACGCCACTTGCAGCCCAATGTGATTTCCTTTTTCCAACGCCTCATGAATATTACCGAGGAATATTATCCTGGACCTGTCAAACGAGTCATTGTCATTCGCAGTCCTCCCATCTTTCGAACCGTATGGGCCGTCGTCAAGCACTTCTTTTCCGAAGAGTCGCGACAAAAAATGATCTTTGCCAACAAGGATTATTTGACCGAATTGGCCAAATGGATGGACATTGAAAAACTACCCAGTTGTATCAACCCAAATGGCACTGGAAAAACAGCTCGAGGCATGCCCAAGCGTATGGAAGGTGGCAAAGTGCCTAGTCACATTAAACAGGGAGGAGTCAACTACGTTCCAATTGATTCTGGCATTTCCGAAGGTAATGCAGGGACAATCCAAAAGTTGACCCGAGTGCCATCGTCGCCTTCTTCTTCCACTACGGCTTCCAGTGTCGGGTCTTTGTCCGAAGACGATGATATTATCACCCCCATGGGCAAAGAGATTGGAATTGAAGTTTCCAAATTGGATGATGAGACCGATTCACCCTTGACCGTCACAGTCACTGCGAATTGCTGACAGTGCTTCGGTTCGTGTGGTGCTGGCTTGTGTGGCTAGTATACACTGCCAGACGTCGTCTGCAGGAGAGATCGTAATTGCTTTTCGGTAGCATGATTCGCTCCTTGTACATACTCTTCCGATCGCCTAGTATAAATCAACACCTACTTAGCAACTTTTGCATTGTTCCATGCCGTACTTTGAATTCGAGCCACCACCACAGTCATGACTACGTAGCCAAATAATGTCAACGTCTTCGTCGAACACGCTCAAAAATACAACACCAAAACGCTGCGAAAGTTGTGCGGCTGTCTCTCACCCCCACCCCTTGTTGGATTGGATAACCACGTGCACTGAATGTGCGTTGTGGCAAGGAAGCCTCGCTGCCAATTAAAGTTTGGTTAAAGGAGTCTAGTAGCTAGCGGTATTGCCGGTCGTAGAACCTTCTTCTCTCGAGTGATGAGAAAGTACCATGCTCACCAAGGGACCGCATTGCTTTTTGGAAATTTAATGGCTGCCCTAGTAGCTAGCTAGCTGATCGCTGGAAGTCAGCCAAGCATCAATGGAGCATATTTTGCTCGGCGAATGCAAATGTTCTGCCTGGTGCGAATGTCACTTGTGTGGCGACACCTAGACTACAGTACCGGCACCTCACTTCAAGCTCGCGGCAGGCAGTGCGACGGTGAATTAGAATCGAAGCTCATGACTTTCTCGTCTTCCGTGCCTCGTTCCTCAGTTCTCTGGCAGCACGCCGACGCAGTCAACATGGCACTTCCTGGGCTAGCCAGCCATCGCTCCATGTTGCTGCATTGGACAATGTAGCTTCAGAAAACACAGTTACGGTAGGTGTGCGGTTCAGGCTCCATTTCACGGTACCGGTACGGTGCGGTCGGTCCTTCTAAGCAGACCACCCCAGGCTCATGATTTTGAGGTTGTTGTCTACGATGTATGTAGTGGCTAGCTGGCACTGGTTGTTGGACATTTAAAAAACTTGAACTCTTCTCCTTTAACACTCTACACTGTCCTGCAGAGTCATCCCCCCGACTCGTTGACAATGTCAGCACTGATATGGAGATCCTGTAGGATGTCCCTTGTCACTCGCAGCTCGAAATCCGTCAGCAGATTGCGTATGCAGTCTCCGTTTCGTGCCACATCTTGAGGGTCGCAATATGGCAATATCCGTTCCAGGGTGTTGGATCGAGCCCATCGCGCTACACTTTCGAAACCTGCAATTGCGTGCTCACATGTAAACACCGGTTGGGGTTGTGGGTTTTGATGTGACGAGCCAGCAGCTCGGCCACTTTGATTTGATCGGGTTCGACATCGGTTAGCAGAATCACAGTGGCGTATTGTTCGGGTGTGAGAGAGGCAAGAAAAGGGATCCATTGTGGGTCAGTTGCTTTTTGTACCAGCAGCGTGTAGTCTTCGAGGGAACGATGGAGTTCTCTCCTTAACCCTTCCCATGAGACATCTGGGGAAGATTCTTCAGCGACAAAGTCACCGTCCTGACTATCGGCATCGCTGGAATAGTTTTCCAACACGATCACATCTCCTCCCAGTCTCATAGCCGTGAGGGGGGCTGTTACCGATGGTGCTCGAAAGGAGTCAGTATCGCTGGGTATCAACAAGACCTGCGCCAAAGGTACATCAAAGTCAATGGATTCAGTGGATAGGGCCGTGGCAAGCGCAGGAGGTGCAGAAGCCCTTGGAGTGGATGGGACTGCAGTTGCTTGAAGAATGTTGAGCGATGATGTTCCTTGCTGTCCAGCACTAATGGCAGTGGCTACCACCGTGGGTGGCGCACTGGCCGCTACAGTAGGACTGTTTCTCGATGGAGCGACAGTCACAATGTCGGTGGGGGGAGTGTGAGGAGGATTCAAGTGTCCTGGTTGCATCTCGTCAGCGACTGTCACTGGGATTTTGATCTTGGCATTTTTCCCTGCGCAAACAAACGTGATAGACAAGTAGTGGGATACAGTGACCACCTTGCCTCTCTTGTAGCTTTCGCGACAGCCTTTTGGGACCATTACAATTTCCCTATTCTCTTCTTTTTGCAGAAGCTGGTAGATCTCGTCAATAATGTCGAGAGACGGCATTGAGTTGCGAGACTGCTTCTGGATTCCTGGCAGATCAATATCGTTAATATGGAGGCGAGTGATTTTGACTTTCTTTTCTCTGGCACGGTTTTCAGAGAGTACATGAGGGGGGGCTCTCCATGAGACGACTTCCTTGAGTTTGATTTGAACGGATTGAATAGTGACTCCACTTCGATTGGTGCAGGCGATGAATACTTGCAAGGCTTTGCCTCGTCCTATATGAACATCTGGAATCCGGGCGGTGATGCGAAGAGATCCGCCCTTCAGGCCAAAGAATCCACTAACATGATGCAGCTGTGGCGATATCCTTGCGGGGATGAGTTCTTGAGGCTTGGGGCTGCCTCTTCCTACTACAGTTCTCTGGGACAGGATCTTTCCATCTTGCAGGACCCTCAAGTAGTAGGTAATAGAGCAACCATTTCTGGACTGGTATTCCGACCCTAAACCAATTTGACGTTCCTCAAATGAGGACGGCGCGCCCGTGATGTTTCCACCTGCAAGGGAACCACAAAGTAAATCTGATCTGGCGATTCACTCGTCGTTGATGTCCCGCCCCCCCGGGCCAAAGGATGACTCTGGTCTCGCACAACCTCCGTCGCCCAACAGTGGTTGCGCCGTTGCTACTGCCAATGATGGCAAGCTCCTCTCCAAAGAAATGTAACTTGAGATTGCCCTGGAAATGCATTGCCGTTTGTGAGTTCATCTTGGCAACAATTCGGCCACGTATATCAGACCCTGCTTGAAAGTACTTCTCTCTTCCACCGGGTCGCTCTCCCTCCAACTGAATCTCCATGGTGCCGACCTGATTTCCCATCGTTGCTTTGATTTGTTGTATGGCTGGCAATGCAGTAGAAGAACATGCTTTTCCCCATTTCCCATGATTTTGCTTCACCTCTTCGCGAATTGGGAGCCATGACCTCAAATGAGCCTTGACCGGTTCCGCGTTTCATTCGTGGATACTTTTGAAGCAACTGGCAAAGAAATCGTAAGAGGGGGGTTTAGTGACGAAGGAACCGGCACGGATAGTCTTGATTAGAAGAGCACATAGACAAGACTTTAGAACAATAACCTCCCCAGCAAACCAGGATGATGAAACGAACTGGCAGACGAGAAATATGGGTTGGAACGATCTGCTTTGTTTGTGGGTGGGTTCTCTGCTTCACTTCTTTGCCTTCTCAAAAAGCCATGCAGCAGATGGTCTCGTCAGTAGCAAGCACCGTCGAAAAAGAATCGAACGGAGACTCGTTCTTGAACTCAGTCCTGGCCAAGAGGCCGAACTGGAGATCTGATTTCCACCTCAAAGATTGGCTTCCTCGGGTGGCAATCTGGCTTTCTGCAGAACAGCTAGACGATTGGGGATCTTCTCAAATAGATGCTCGACCTGACCACCTGCCGATCCCAATGACGCCAACTGAGGAACAACGCCAACAAATCGAAACAGACTTTTGGAACACAGCGTCGCAAGACTTTACGTTTGGCGCAGCCAACATTGGCTTGGGCCATCGATTGGCACAACTCGCGTACAGTTACACCTGCAACGTTGTCCCTAACAGGAAACAGCAACTGCTGCACTGGGATGCTGCTGGGTTGGACGGAGACAATCGTGCGTGGCACTATTTGTTCGATGACAGCCCTGTAATCATGGGTGTACCGGCTCATCTCAAACAAGGTCCCTGGGGAGAGCACGTGAATGGAACGCTCAACTTTATCAATCAACGCCGCAACGAAATGAACACATTCGGAAGTGTGAGTGGACCCGAGGCTGTTGCAAACCAGTACGCCGATTGCAGCCATGGTGATTACAATGTCTATTACCGCTTTGAATGTGCGCCGCGTGGTCACTGCCAGGGGATGCGAGCTCCGACTGACTTGTGGTTGCTTCGGTTTGCAAAGGAGCCGTCTGCGCAGGAGTTCTATCAAATGCTAAGAGCTCAACTAAAACAGCGTGTCAAGGACAAGATTGCTTCCTTTGTGGAAGATTACTTTCCAAAGGATGAGCTCGTCATTGGAGTCCATATCCGCGCTGGGAATGGGAAAGACGAGTAAGTGACGCAACCTGCTGAAGTTCGTCTTTGGACCCCCTCCTGATCCTCTCAAATAATCCTTCCTGCATCGATGTCTCGAGTAGCAACATGGGGCACTTCCACAACACTCATCGAGGCGACTGGCTCGAAGACTTGCCGGCTGCAATTGCCATGGTTCGGAAACAGGTTCGAATGATTGCATACAGTATTGTGGACCGCATGAATGTGGGCGGGGAGATCTTTTCCAAAGACAACATTGATTCCGTCTTGGATGGGCAGTACCGTATCTTTTTGGCCACCGAGTCGGACAAGGTATTGCAGGAGTTCCAACGCCAAGATCCAACAGTGTTGGCCCTGCCACAAGAAAGGGTGGCTGACGGGGAAGGGGTTGCGATATTTCAAACGGCAGCCTGCTCCAACACCAGCAGTCCTTTGGAATGTGCTGTACACACGCAGGAATCCATGCTGATGGACATGATGATTCTTGGGTCAAGCTGTGATGCTGTGTTGGCGACCTCATACTCCAACTTTATGTACACGCTACCAGCTACATTGAGTATGGCCGAAGGTCGAATATTCTGTGAGAGTGGAAGAGCAGCGTTGGGTGGCCAGTACATGCTGAATGAGCACCAAGGAGAGGCAAACATTCTGGGAGATGCAGGATGGTGGGCCCACCCTCCTCCCAATGCAATGCCTATTCGTTGCAGCCAAGGAGGCTGGGCAGCCAGGGATAGGGCCAACTTGAACTTCCCTCAAGATGTGGGTGCTTCCTAGTGTTCCATGAGACACATTGCTTTTAAAAAAGTACAGAATACATCCAGATCTTTGTCATTATTACAATGTCACTGTGCTCGCAGCAGGTTCGCTCCCTCAGCATTAGATACACTCAAAACCAAGGGGTTAGGAGTATACAAGTTCCTTCGTCAATGATTTGAGAGGTTGGAAAGGATGCACCGGGTCATTACTTTGCCAGCTGCATACTAGTAGTACTTAGCTATTGCCAAAAAAGCAGCTCGAGAGAAGAACGAGTATAGTCCATCTTCTGAAAAATCGATTTTGCTCCTCAAGGGCACTATTGGCTGAGCAAGCAACCGACCAAGGAGTATGGTACCGGGAGCCGCCGCCAGGTTGGAAGTCGCGTGTCGCCATCCTCTGGATATACGGCGGGCACACTGCTTCTGCCTCTATGACTTGAGCGGTTCTAATACTTGCCCGACAAGAAATCGCGTACACGAGCATGCTTACGGTAGGTCCTGCAACGAAAGACATCTCCACTCTCTTTCTTTCTTTCTTTCTTTCGTGTTCATAACTTGTGTAATCGCGTCGAGGAAGTTTCGTGTTGTGATCGCATTTGGAATGTGAGCGCTCGTACGATTGAATCATTCAAGCACAAGAGCGAATAGGGCTGCTAGTTAGCTAGCTAGAACACAAGGGCAATGAACGCTGTTGGGAAGACGACCGTCATTGTCATGGCTGTAGCAAGAACGAACGAAATGCCCGCGACTCGACTCGAGAAACTATTGTGTGGTCAGCGTGGATCCGACCATGCGATTGAATCCTTTGCCCAACAAAAATACAAGCGCATAGCGGACCTAGCTACGACGATACTATTGGAAGGCATCGGATGATTGAATCGAATCGTAATCTGCCTCCAAGTGAGAGTGAAATTCAACTTTGCTCTATAGATGACCTACGTTACGGTATCCCACCTTCACTACGATACAAGGAAACAACTGCATCGTCATTGTTCCTCCCAACACGAAACACAAAGTACATATAAAAGAAAATAAAGATAGCACACTCCATTCCGATTTGAATGATTCATTCAATCGTCTGTATCAATTTCAATTCCAATCCATAATTGTAATAGTATTCCATAAAATGTAATAGTATTATCATGAAACGCCAAAAGGTACCGTGACAAGGCCAACAAGCGCAAAAGGAGTATCATAATCGCAGCTCGCATGGTCCACACGGTATGTAATAAATAATATTCCACCACGCCCCACTCCACCTGTTCAGGTTCTTCGTTCTGGTTTTCTTCTTCGTCGTCGTCCTTGTCTTCCTCATCATAATTTATTTCCAAGATCAAAGCAGTGTTAGTAGTAGTAAAAGGCGGCAGTGAAAATATCATCATCTTCCTCCTCCTCCAAGATATGTGGTGGTGGTGTAAATTTTGCATGTTTAGCAGCACTTTTTTTGCTGAGGAGCAGCCTGTCCAGGTTTGAGGTTGAGTCCCTTACCAGGAGCAGGTCCTCCCAAACCATCCGCCACAAGTCGGTCTTTGACTGCTCGTCCGATCCCAATGAACGACTCGTCGACATTGATATTATTCTTGGCGGAGCACTCCCAGAACTGAATGCCAAACTCGTTTGCCAACTTTTCTCCTTCCTCCGTGGAGACGACCTTCTCGTCCGTCATATCGCACTTGTTTCCCACTAGGATCTTGTTGACGTGAACATCAGCGTGTTGCTGGATTTGTGAGATCCAGTTACGAATGGACTCGAAGGAGCGGCGGTCGGTAACGTCGTAGACCAAAAGGATTCCTTGGGCTCCACGAAAGTAGGAAGTTGTAATGGTTCGGAAGCGTTCTTGTCCAGCGGTATCCCAAATCTGGAGCTTGATGCGAGTGCCGTCAATATCCACGTTCTTGATCTTAAAGTCAATTCCAATTGTCGTGATGAACGTGGGACTAAAGCTGTCGTTGGCATAACGCAGGAGCAAACAGGTCTTCCCAACTCCGGAGTCACCAATCATTAGCAGCTTGATCTGCATATCATATGGAGCGCTTCCTTGACTCATTGTGATCTTCTTGTTGTTGTAATGAAAACTGTACTATGGAAATGAAGGAATGGTACTTTACAATACAAGAGGACGACAGGGAACACACAGTGTGGACACGGCACGGCAAGAGTAGAAGAAGTAGACGATGCTGCTATGAAAAGCTCAGGTCACCGTATCCTGCTCTGGTAAGTTTGATTGTGCTTGGTGTTGCCGCCTGCCTGCAAAGTTACCGTTTAGTGACCGCTACGTCGTTCTTTCGTGGTTGCTCACTCTTCAGCCGGCTCAACGCCTCAAACTTTGAAATTTCTGGCCAGCTTAGCTGCAAAGACACCAATCCCAACTTTTTGAATGGCTACCAAACCACATCCAAATCTTGGATTTGGTTTCGGGACATGTACTGTAAGTTAGAATTAGCCAGCTGCTAAAGAGTAGTATGTTGGGGTCTGGATTTGGTTCAGTGTTGGCCCAGCTGTAGCTCTGGTGAAAGGTGGGCACTGCTATTGGTCGTGGGTTAGAGCCTGGAGTAGTGACAGACTGCGTGGCAATGGGCCAGGTGTTTGGTCCCGCAGTGAATAGCCAGGTGTTGAGCCTAGACTATGGTCAGGTGTAAGGCCACGAGTAGTCCTATGCTACTAGCTAATGTGTAGGCCAGGAGAAGGAAGGTCTTTGAGATTGAACCATTGTTCTTCAGAAGTGGGCGTAGTAGGTGTTGTTTGTGCGTTTCAGATGTGGAGTGGGACCAGGTGCGGGTCCAGATGCAGCTCTTGTATTAGACATGGATTAACTATCCACAGATGCTAGCTGGATGGGAGCCCTCTTCTGGAGGTTGGCAGCAACCTCCAACAAACACTCCTAGCCAGGTAGTAGCTACTTTGATCTTAAGAAGAGCACAAGGATTCCTCCTCTACCTGCCTTGTCCGAGTCGAATGAAACAGCAGAAGAGTTCTTGGAATGCCATGTTTCCATGTGGCTACCCAACAAAGCCGTCCTTTCTGTGAATAGGTCTACTGGCTAGCTTAGCTAGCTAGAGTTTTATCTACATCTTGGATAGCGCTTGTGCCATCCATACCCATATTGCAGGATCGGCAATGAGCCAGACAAGAGAAAAACAAGAGTCTGACAAGACAATGCAAGCGGAAGCAAAAGCCGCCTAAATCTATTAGTCCTGGGTGACAAGATTGGTGACATTCTGACGTTATTGGCAGCACATGTTCTCTTGAATTTTGCCTCCATCTCATTTATTTATTCTCATTCTCATCCGTACGTCTCCTTGAAGCCAGAACAGCGCGTGGTCTGGAGTCATTTGTTGTCAAGCTTGCTTAGTAGCAGCTAAAGAGAAAACTTCTGAAAGCTGAATGCCTGGCTAGGCAGCTAGAGTATCCACACCATGAGCCAGCAGTCTTCCCCTGCAATGCGAGATCGGTCCGAAAGGTCCCATCGAGATAGACGTACCACAAGCCCCATTGTATCCAAGCCGAGTATCGCACTCGAGAGATCTGCCACGGATGGACGTCGAGATCGGGATCAACGGGATCGAGAACGGACGCAACGCGAGCGACAGCGAAGCGTGAGTCCCTCTGCAAGACGGGCTCCTCAGCAGAGCGATTCTGGCAGTGTCTCTGGACGGAACGAACGAGTCAGTCATCGATCCGCAAATAAGCAACCACGTCGACGTACACGCAAAAGTGTTCCTGGTACCGGAAATGAAGAGATGATGGCATGGCGCCGAGGCGTTGCCAAAAGCCCGGGAGGGCTCAAACGGAATACCACTCGAGAGAGGGCTGCCGTTGCCGCTCGTCAATTAGAACAAGTGGCTCCACCGCTGTCGCCAGATGGGGAGGAGGAGGAAAATGGACGTCGAGAAAGCGTGGATGACGACTTTGATACCCTGGCAGCTTTACACAGGGATGCGAATCCTGGGAATCCAGAACATTTTAGCCGATCAAGCCTTGTTTCTTTGGATGGCAGTATCAACAATCATAAAAAGAAGTCAAAGAAACGGTCCTCCAAGACGGCTGCTATTGCATCCAGCCATGACATTGATCAAGTGATTTCACAATTCAGGGAACAGTGTGATATGCACATGGCAACCCTTTTGGAACTGAAGAACAATATTACAACAACCGAAAAAGAAGTAAATGTGAGCTCCGAAAAGGACAAGGAATTTCAACAGGTTCGACAATGGTACAGTGCATTGGCAGAGAAACACACCAAACTGCAGAAAGAACATCAAGCACTGCAAGAGGAACACGTCAAACTACAGGAACGGTACATGAATCTCAAGAGAGCCAGCAATACACACGATTCGTTCGTGGCACACTTTCCCGAAGCGGAAGAGAAAAAGAAGGAAAAGAAAGAAAAGAAATCTGCTGTCGACATTGTCTGGAGTCGGGCTGTCAAGCCCACTGGTAAAGCTGTGGGGAATGTTGCAAGTAAAGTGTGAGTTTTCCTCTCCATCTGCTCCGTCAAATCGTAGGCATCGTCTTACTCATCGTACTATCCTCCTTTGGTTGCTCTTTCTCTCTTTTATATTTATAGCACCAAGAAAAAGCATCAGCAATTGCAATAGTCCTTCTCTCGCTATGGTACCGGTAGGGTGATTGAGAGGTTTTTAACGTGGGGTTTTGAGACTTTTAAAGGGGTGCTGCCCAGTTCCACACGCGCAGTGGTGACTGTTGTCAAGAGAAGTCTTTAGGTGTTAGTGGAATTACGTGCCTTGTTCTGTAAATATCGTAGGAAACAGCGGGTTTGTTCACGGTGGTACCGTACAGATCACAGCTTGCTAGAGAGGGCTGATGAATATGCAGTTACAGAAGCAATTATACTGTACAGCCGCAGACTGGCTGGGCATCAGACTTAGTTTCTTTGTGGGTAGATTGAAAGTGGCTGTGGAGGTCGGGTTGTGGGTGCAGTTTGCCGCATCGATCCGCCTGAAGACGAATAGTGGAGTTTCTCCATCTTTCAACGACATTGCTATAGGATCTACAACATCCAAGAGCCGAAGGCCGAGAACCGGGGCAAACATCTCCTTACACGGGTTGGTGCTCTACTCTGGCACCCACGGGATACCGGTGGCAGACAGCCGGACTCTCCAGTACCATCTGATATCGTAAGCCCATCGTGTTTTTTGGGTTGCTTTGTTGATGGTTAGCCTCACATAGATAGCACAACTTCGGCAAGCATGGTTCCGGTAGCCTCCTCGAGTTGGTCTCCTTCCCTGGGTCTTCAGGCATACATGGCACCATTTTTATCCGATTGAATGATTCGTTCTAGGTTTGGTTACCAAAGCGTAACGAGCTGAAAATCCAATTCTGGGCAAACTAAAACGCAACCACGTCTTTTAAATCACTAAACTTGGATGTTGGCGAATGGATCTGTGTTGCCGAGTCGGTGGGAATCCATACGGTCAAAGCATAGCGATCCTTTTCCTCGTCTTGCGGGTCGGCATTGGGGCTCGTAGGGAGAACTTCATGCGGAATTTCGTCACTCCAAAACATCAGGAGTCTCCCTCCAACGGGCGGCAAATCTCGAATGACATTATCCTGGAGATAAATGCGTAACTCTCCTCCATCTCCAGCCTGATAGTTTGGGTTGAGGTAAATAATGGCTGTCAATTTCCGAATGTCGTTAACAGCCAACCCCTGCGGATTGTCAATATGGAGTGGATAAGTGGATCCTCCCGGTTGAGTCACAGCCAACTTTGCATTAAAGGCTTGATTGGAGAGGTCCACTGAACCTCCATCGGGCAGTAATTCCTGCATTTCGTTGTTTAGCCGAGGCGGTAGCGTTTGCAATAGCCAGCTCATGTAGATGAGAATATCTGGTGCCGTCACATAATCGGCTCCATCTGGTTCGCAGGCGAAGACTCCCTCCTTGTCAAATCTTTGTGCCACGCCGTCGCTCCCAATGGACTCACTCCAAGACTGCTCAAAGCGACCTTCCTGTCTCAAAGCTATGGATTGCATTCGAAGTGCCGTCGTTTCAATGGGATCTAAGAACTTTTCAGTGGTGAAGTATCCTTCTTCCATCAACTGCTTGGCAATGTTGGATGGCTGGAGATCCTCCAATCGCTCATCCAAGAACGTCATGTCCAAAATGGGATCCACAGAAGGCGTCACGGTGGAGGAGAGCTTGCGGCTGGACTGACCAAGCACAAATCGTTGGCGGGTTCTCATTGCAACAGGAGATGCTTGCCGGCTGGACCATACTACCGGCTGAGCAATCTTAGGCGAGCGGAACGACAGCGATCCAAGACAGTGTCGAAGCGGTGGTGGTAGCGATCGCATGGCCTTTGTCTTTCCCAAAGCAAAATGAAGCAAGTGGTTCTCTACTAGCTAGTAGTAGTTGTTGTCCAACGTTACGATGTACGATGTTGGCGTTGGTGGGACGCTCGGTTAGCTAGCTAAGCTGCGTATCCTTTCCAAACGGGAAGCCAATCAAGCTGTCAACGAACATTGTCAACAACCTTTGAGTTCACAAGCGCCGTGGGCGGATGTGGAGTGACCTGGACCTGTGAAATCTTGTGGAGTCTAGCTAGTAGAGTCGGATCAGCCCGATATACTTTTACGGTACCATGGAGTCTCCATTCATCTGGCCAATCGGAACGTCCCCCCCTAGTTCGCAGTTGTTGTACAGAAAGCAGCAACAGGAATGGGTATCATAAGATGCCAAAGCACATTTCTCCGGTACGAGGATATGCCAATTGACCTAGTCCTGATTGTTCCTTTCTATGCTCTCCTATGTTTGGCTCACTTCCAACTTTCATATTAGCTAGCAAATAGTACAATACTCTAGGCCCCGTTATCCAACAATCGAGCGTGATGACAGCGGTCTCAGAATGATACATGTAGGACTGACGGTTGTATTCATTTTTCTCGAGGCCGAGGTTGCAAGGGTTCTGATTCAATCGATTTATTCGACTCCGACCCACACAAAACACAATCACCTTAACCTTGTTAGAGCATGCAATTCCCAAGTACCCCAAATCACAAACTATATGACGTCAGTTCAGAAAGCGTTAAGTAAAAGCTTGATCAGATTCTGCCCAAGAGCAGGCCATGTCAAAATGCGATTTTATTTGGATTCTCAACGGATGTGATTAGAGTTAGAGTTGCTTTGCACGAGGTTTGGGTGGATCGGTCCGGAACACAAAAGGGTGATATTTGCACGAGGAAACCCCCTTGGGCAAGTCTCAACCAAATCTGTCACTAAGTAAAAGGGTTAATGTTACAGAAATGTCACGGAATTGTCACAAGCATATCACATAGCCGAACTTTTGCAAGCAAGAATAGCCTGGCAGCGAGGATGTCAAGCTTTCACCCAATACGCACGAATCAATGGTTTGTGATTTGGGGTACCCGGGAATTGCAGTTTCTTAGGTATATTTTTGTTCTCTTTCATCCGTTCATCTTACTGGGGACATAGGCAGATTGTGGCTCTGTATGCATATTAGTACTCTAGCTATGTAGTACTGGTACCAGGTACGAGTACAGTACTGGTACAGGACCGTCGGACGGTTTTCTAAGGATTTTTACAAAACTTGAAACTTCCACGACTGACAACATCCTCTTAAACATCCTCTTAATTAACGTCCTCTTAACATCCTTTTAAATTTTCAACATCCCCTTAAACATCCTCTTAAATAAATATCCTCTTAACAACACCCTCTTAAAGCTTCGAAACATCCTCTTTAGCCTTCGTTGAAACACGATGTGGTCACGGATGTGCAATACACGGCTCTTAGCCTTATTCGCGACTCGATCCTAGATAGGGTTTGAGTTCGACTCATGACGTAGTCCTTCGCGAATAGTCATTGAGACAGGGTTTCTCATGACTGCTAGTCATACTAGGTTGTCGATAAACATCGCTCTAGATATTTAGCCGGCTGGAAAGCTTCCACGCTACTAGACACCTACTAGCTGAAGTTTCCACGTGTTCCGGAAATGGACCGTGGAGTACGTAGAGTATTGCCATAACCTACGATATCACACTTCAGGACTCCCGCGGGAGACCAACTTCAATGAGCTTCACAACATCTCTCTCATGGATTGTTTTCTAGCTTTCTAATCATCTCATAACTTTCATTTCTCTCAAACTCAAAACACTCGAAAGATTCTTACACTAGCTTTTAC